ATCTGGAGAACGCGGCCGCCTCCCCTTCGGGGGGACTCGATGCCACATCCTCCACGCATGCCCCAAGAAGTTCCACAGATGCGCATCGCTCCCACGATGAGCTTCGCACAGCTCGAGGTGCTTTGACGGCTCGCGGTGATCGGCCCGCAGGCGGCAAGGCCCACACTTCCAGGGGGAGCGGGAAGGAGGTGCTGTCGGGCGCGGGCAGGGGGCGGAGGAGGGCAGCGCGGGGGCCTCCATGACCGTGCGGGCGGCGAGCAGCTCGTCCGCCCGGAGCGTCCTGCGGGCCCAGCCCTGGCCCGTCCAGAACCAGCCCGCGAGGGCGCCTCCGGGGCGCCGGCAGGGGCGGCCCGATGGCCGTCCGCAGGTTGCTCGGGGGCGGCCAGGAGAGGTGTGATGCTTCGAGGGGGGGGGGGGGCGGACTTGGCAGGAGCCATGATTCCACAGGCTCCGTGGCGCATCTTGTTCTGCCAGTGCGTGCCCTGCTCTCCACCCCCACCTGCTCCGCTCACGTGCCTCGGGCCATGATTTGCGAACCCCCCAATTGAACGCCCCCGAATTGTGGCAGTTCCGCTGCCTCTGCCAGGGCCCAGGGACATCCGCCATCAGGCCGCAGAGCGTTTCGTCGCGCAGCCGAGCGCCCGCGGCACCTGCGACGAACCAGCGCACCACGACACCGTGCGACGTGTGCCGATGAGTGTGCGCTGGCATTGCGCGCGACATGTTCAACGTCTTTGGTCGAACGGACGCGCGCTTGCGTTTGCACTCGTCCTGGCGATCATCGAACAGCGACGACCGAGAGGAGGAGAGAGAGGAGAGGGGGGGGGAACCATGGAGAGAGGGGGAACGAGGGGGACCCTCTTCCTATCCCCCCTCCTCCGCCTCCCCCTCCCCTCTGCTCCAGATGCCCCTCCGCCCTGGATGTGAGGCAGCGCCGCCTCCCGGACGAGGGCTGGGACGACGCCTCCATCCAGATGTTCTTGGAGGATCGTCTGCAACCTTGCGTCCCGCTTTTTTAAATGGATGGGACGAACTATTCGCAGCCGAGCCCGCGTCGGGGAATCTGTGAGGGTACGCATGAAAACGCAGGGGCGGGGTGCGATGCGACGGAGGAGGAGTTGGCACGCACACTCGGGAAAGGACGAACGTGCATAAAACAGATGCCATAATGAGCGAAAAAGAGGAACACACGGCGGAACAACAAAGGAAGGGGGAGGAAGAGGGTTGGGAATGTCTGGAAAATGGAACAGTCGAGGGTTGGAGGTGAGATCGCACTGGAACGGGGAGCCCCTTCACCCGGAACTCGGATTCGGTTTCGACTTCGTGTCGCGTGTGCGGGCGATGCGAAGTTTCGTGGGCGCGCGAACGGAATGAACCCGCCGTCGTTAGGGCGATTCGGATGCAGTGGACCGCCCCTCCGTCCCTGGTGGGCGCGCGATCGCCTGGGGTGTCCCGCCGTGGTGTCCTGTGGTGTTCCGTCGGTGTCCCGTCGGTGTTCCGTCGGCGGTGGGCGGGCGGTGGTCGGGGGTGTCCCGCTTTGGTACCGGTTGGAGTGGGATGGATGGTGAATTCAAAAGTGAGACCAGCACTGGGGATGATAGTGGGATTGGTTGTGAAGTTGGTAGCGATGTCAATAACATTATAGATTTGGATAAAGGAGTCGATACAGCGATCGAACGAGAGATAGCTCGAGTGATGTCCATCGTGAGATCGTTAATGAGATCGAATGCTGCCGACCTATTGTGACAGATTATGAGAGATGGTTGGTGGGGTCGATGGTGATGCCGATAGTGAAATCGACCTCGCCATCGATCGTGAGATCGGTTCAGTAGGTTGGCTTGCTTGTCGTTCTAGCCACCATCGCATGGCAGCCACCGTGGCCAGTGCAATCAGTATCGCGGCC